CTTTATAAAATTTATAAAGCAGTGTTACAGCAAACCCCTACCGCCCACCATGAAAGCTGGAACGCCCACTAGTGGGTGGTAGGGATCAGGTTGACTACCACTGTTCTAAGTGATCTCACATTCTCTGATAGTATGAAAGCATTATATATTTATGATCACTAGATGGCACTGGAACACCCTGTAAAGCATAAGGTATTTGCTTTACAGAATAGGTTACTGAAGAAAAACTTTCTTTCCATGAAATTTAAGAGTTGGTATAGAGCCAGTAAAGAAGATCTAAAGATAGATACAGAAATTCTAGAACTTAAGAGACTTAGGATTTACATTTCTTAGACAGTAACCAGCTGGTGCTTCTTATGAATGTGAAAAAAAATTCAGTAGCTCTGTGATACTCTGTACTTGTCAAATAATTGGAATCAGGTACTACCATATAATATTTCAAAGATATTTCAAGGGCACTAGATATGTGCCTAATGTAATTTCACACTCAAATTATTAAATAATTGTAAGGGTGAGTTATTTAGAACAATATATTTAATATTTTTGTCTGTTTTTGTCACATAAATATTATCAAATATGCACTATCTACATTAAAGAAGGTTTATGTATGATGAAATATTCCTAAGGTGCGTATGTGATATAAGTGAATGAATGAAAATAAGGATTAAAAACTGGGTGGCCAGCCCCAGACTACACAGTTAAAAAAAAGAAACAGAAAACTGTATGGAAGAAATAATGGAATATAGTAAGTATAAAATGAAGAGAGACTCCGAGAATGACTGATAAAAGTAATAGCATTAACAATCTCATTGGCTAGATTCACTCATTGTACTAAATCAAATGTTTTGATTTTTGCTTACTATTATACCAATTCAGCCAGTGAAGTTTCATTGCATAATGTAAATATGAGTCAAGTGGTTATTGGTTGTGAGTGGTTATTGGTTCTGAGCTTGGTTGTTTTCTTGCAGAGGTTTTATTACCCAAAGTAGATAACATCATTAGTGGCTAATGAAATGCCTGCAAGAAAACAACCAAGCTTAGAGAGCACCAAGGACTCTTCATTTCAACCCTGAGCTACAAATATTTTCCTTTATGTATATTGCAACCAGTGATAGGGTTTAGTTTTTGTAAAATGACAACTCCTTGTTTTGTAGGGTTCTGGCATCTTCCAGCATTCCTCTTCTATCAAATATGTGCAGATCTTTCGGGTACAGAACAAACTGGGAAAAAAAGAACAACATCACCTATCCTCCACAAGGGCCAGATGAGCCTCGAAGACCAGCAGTAAGTCCTAATTTTATGAGGAGTAGTTTTTGAGATCTGTCTTGGAGTTGGCAGTTATAATCATTATCACGTCCTGTGCTAAACATTGGGCTACAGGTATACCCCGGAGTTCCCAATCTGTAGCTACAATCTGCATCCTTCAAAGCCTGTCGTTTATTCTGTTATCATTTCAGACAGTTTTCAGGAATTACTTCTTTATAAAAAGTTCTCATTTGTGACATGATTCCTATATGGGATACAAAGAACCCTTCTGGGACAACATTGTTGGAAGATGTTGATCTTATCAATAATTATTCTTATAGATTTCCACTGGTATGGATGGCAGTCGGTATGACAATGGGATGAAATAATCTGATCTTGGTGCTGTATTTATGGTGGATGTGGTCCAAAATGAGCGCATTTGTTGGAAGACAGCAGTTATAATAAATGTAATGAAATAAATGTAATGAAATAAATAAATGTAATGAGCATTTTATAGCATCTCATTTGAATTAAATCCATATGCCTAAAATATATTCACTCCTTTTAGCTCTTTGGCATCTTTGGGATGAGATAGGGTGCGAAAAAACATAGAAGACTGTCATGTCTTATTTCAGAACAATTCTAGTACTCATCACTACAGCAGGTCAATAGCCCTCATTTTTGGGAAGGTCCACACTTTAAGATAATGCATTTTATTCCATTAGCAACTGTGCCTTTCTCTTCCAGCGATCAACTGAAAATACCTTGAAGGGAAAAGTAAGGTCAGATGGAAGACATAATGGCAATAGAGAAGAATGTCAATAGCATAGTTGAGTGGACTCTGGTCATGGGCAGTTAATTCCCATATCTCCTATAAAACAATGTTAAAATTTAACTGCTTCAGTATACATGCTAATGGTTTATATGAAATAATACGAGCCACAACATCAGGATTTTCTTAAGATACTTGACAACTTTCTCTAGCTAGCTAGTATTCAATTAGGTGAACCAGTGTATAAAACTGATCACCCTGTGACCTAAAATTATTGCCTAGTCATTTCTCATGAGATTTCAGCAGTCTTGCTTAGAAATCTCATGAGATTCAGCTGGCTTTTATTTTTTTTTAACTGTAATAAAAGCAGCCACGTGTAGTATCCAAGATGTTTATAGGATGCTCTAGGGCTGTGGTTTGTTACTGATACGTACTATTTAAAACAATTTGACTCCAAAAAATACATTTGGGGTTTGAGTCTTGAAGGATCTTGGCTCTGTCTTTTCTTAAATATGGACACATTTGTTTAGGTATAAATTGCTATAACCATTTTACATCAGCTACTTTTGTGTAATAAACACTTCTTTTTTAAAGGAAGTATACCACAGTCGAAGAGATGTCAAATATGACAAGGATAAGATGTGGTACCTGGCCAAGTTGGTAAGAGCTTTTTTTTTTGGATTTCTTAAGATGTTTTTTAGTAGATTTCTTAAGATGTTTATATGTTCCTGATTTTTCCTAGTTCATCAGTTTATAGTTTATAGTTATGCTACTTCAGTGTTTTACTCAGACCTCAAAGCAGTAAATAAAAACCAATGTGACACAAGTAATCCTTGCTGATTGATTGCTCATTCAGTGACTATTTGAAGTTACAACCACTGAAAAAGGAGACTTAGGACTGATTCTTGAACTTGCACCGGTCACAGTGTCCCCATGGTCACGTGATCATGATTCAGATGCTTGGCAATTTGTGCAGATTTTATTTTGATCACAGTGTCCTGCAGTCGTGATTGTCATTTGTGACTTTCACAGCAGGCTTCAAAATGTATTTCCTTCCATTTCAGATACGGGGAATGACCATTGATGAGGCACTGGCTCAGTTGGAATTCAACGATAAAAAGGGTGCAAAAATAATCAAAGAGGTATGTTACATTTGTCTTCAAAATTTTAGTTAAAGCCATTTATTTGAGAGATTTCCTGAAATTTATTATTCAATATATGCAGAGATTTTATCTATATATTATGTGTATCTTTAATTTCCAAACAGAGTTTTGTACTTTGGAAAATATGACCATTTGCTTGTGGTTAATCTTGATATTTGGCTAGGTGAAAGCAGGGAAGTGGTCCCAAGCATTAGAAAGCAGAAGAATCAAAAATGTTAATATAAGAAAGTTAAAGAAAGTTTGCTAAAGAGTAATGGAGTAATAGAAAAAAAATATGGCTGATATGTTTTGACAGAAAAGGGAAACAGGTAAAATAGAAATGAATCTTGGGGGAAAAATGTGATGCTTAATATAAGGTGGAATGGACTATTTGGAGAAAGGAAAAGTTAATAATATCTGTAGGCTGGATTCATGAAACATGTTGAGCTAAAATGTGTTTTGCTTATTTTTGGCATAGAGTATTGTGTGAATCTAGCCATTATAGCTAAGTGTGTTAGCTCAGCACACTAACAAATAGAATTATTATAGCATATTCATTAACTTAGTTTTCTTAGCTATGGCTACTGAATACATTACAATTTGTTCAGTTTGCACACTGCATAAACATGGTTAGTGCTCTGAATAAAGATTCTGGATAGCCACAGTTATATGCACACAAAAGTGTTTCATGAAGACATGGAACTAAAGAGGGGGAAATATGATTATGCTGTTTAGGTAAGGTCTAGGGAACTGGGATAATCATGTAGTACTGCTTGAATTGTATGGCAGATGTGCCTGTATGATAGTGTGAAATTTAAAATAGAAATTATTGGTTGCAGGCTCTTTGAAAAGGATTTAATTTTTTCTTACTTTTTAAGAGTTCAAAGTATGTCAACAAGCCGTAAAATGAATAGGATAATCCTAAAATATTAGATGTTTAGGCAGGCCTGCTCAATATTGTTGGGGGATGGAATCTAATTAAAGCACCCGCCATCTTAAGGATGTTGCGGCTGGATGATGTAAGTTGTAGCTGAACATTGAAAAAAGGGTTTAAAGATTTCCCTTGTTCAGTCATGACCAACTCAAAGGGACGGTGTTTATTTCTGATTCTCAGCCAAGGGAGCCTGCATTGTCAGAAAGACGTTTCTGTCATCATGTGGCCAGCAAGAAAATATGGAATGCAGTAATCTTTCCACTGAAGTGTTATCTATTTATCTACTTGAATTTGCATGCTTTTGAATTGCTAGCTTGGCGGACTCAGTGCTGAACTTGTCAGCTGGAAAACTCACAGCTCAGGTTCAAGACCAGAGTGTCATGTGACGGGGTGAGCTCTTGTTACTTGCTCCAGCTCCTGCCAACCTAGCTGAACATACATATCTACATATTCTCAAGTTGGAGAACTCCACCAGCTTCTGCTCCTCTGGGGCATAGACTTGTTTGAACTTCTAAAAGTAAACTAAGGCAATGCTCTGCTCAGTGATCTGGCAGTAAGGCTCACGGAATAAAAATCCCATTACAGAAGCTTCTTCTGTGAAGAGTATAGGATTTTCAATTATGCAGGCCATTTTGCTAAGACTCAAATATTCCTTTGTTTCTATTTGTAGAGCTTTAAAGCTCTTAAATTAAAAATGTTCATGATCTCTGTGACTTTATTATTTTTTTCCTTTTTCATAACAGGTTCTTCTGGAAGCCCAGGAACTGGCAGTGAGAAAATATAATGTAGAATTTAAATCCAATTTATACATTGGTAAATAATTGTATGAAACTTTCTTTAAAAAAGCAGAATGTAATGTAATTTATAATTTATAGATAGTCCTCGGCTTACAATCACAATTGGGATCAGAATTTCCAAGATGTTAAGTGAATCATGATCAGTTTTAATCCCATGGTTGTTAAGCAAAGAGAACAACGAAAACAAAGAAAAAGGTTTAAGAAACACTGATGTATAGTATAAGTAAGATCTGACAGATTGTTTATCACATTAGAAGGTGCTTAACTACACATATTACCTTTAAAGTTTTTATTTCATAGTTTTATTATGTTTCCTTGTTTAATGCTTTATGTAGAATTTTGAATGGTGTCAAACAAGACAAGTCAGTGATGTTACTGATGTAAGACAAGTTTCCTCAGTTTCCAGAAGTAGCATCACTCTTGGCACACCAGCAGTAGGCAGAAGTAGCTGATGGAGACAAAAGAGTATTTTTGGATGTTAATGTTGTGATCATTTTGTGTGTTGTGTTTTTTATTCTTTTGTGTCTTCTTGGATTTTTATTTAGTTTTAATATTTTGTATTTTAACTTTGTTCTGAATAAAATAAAAATATAGAAAAAAGAGAAGAAGAATAAAAAAGCCCTGCTAGTTCAGAATGAAGGCTAGCAGCTGCCACATGAATACGTAGTCCTCGACTTGTAACAGTTCCTTTAGTAACGGTTCAAAGTTACAACGGCATTGAAAAAAGTGATGACCATTTTTCACACTTACAACCATTGTGGCATCCCCATGGCCATGTGACCAAAATTCAGAGACTTATTTATGACTATAGCAGTGTCCCTGGATCATGATCACTTTTTGCAAGCTTCTGACAAGCAAGGTCAATGCGGAAGCCAGATTTACTTAGCAACTGTGAAGGGTTGTAAAATGCAGCAACATTCATTTAACAAATGTCTCACTTAACAACATAAACTTTGGGGTCAATTGTAGTCGTACGTCGAGGACCATCTGCAGTCATCCATTCTTCTTATTCAGTCGGATTGATTATCCTATAAGTCTGAACCATTTTTTATTTTCTTTGAGATGCATTATGATAATGAACTGTGGAACTGACTGTTCTACTAAGTGCTTCTTTGGATCTCTGTTATAATCAGGTTTTTCCTTTGATATTTTCTAGCTGAATCATTTTCTGGAAAAGGACATTATTTAAAAAGAATCCGCTACCATGGCAAAGGCTGTTTTGGGATTATGGACAAAGTCAAATGTCATTATTTCGTGAGATTAGTTGAAGGACCACCTCCACCTCCAGCACCTGCAAAAACTGGATTTGATCAAGCTAAGGAGTACGTTGAACAACTTCGGAAACGAACCATAATTAATACACTATGACAGCTCTCATAAGAGTATATCTGTTTTTCCTTTTTGATTTAAAAAATGTAAATAAAGTACATTTTATAAATACATTTTCAATTTCCTATTCCTGAAAATAGGCATACACCTTACATTGGTATTTAGGAATGGAGCTTTTGCTAATGGAGAGCTTTTAGAATTGGAATGTGTTAGTTTATTTGAGAATCACCCAGCACATATTCAAAGAATTGAGCAGGATTCATAATATAGAAAAAAAACTCTTTATATACAAAATATAAAAACATGATACAAACAATACCCATGTATCTCTTGCAATGTGGTAGAGAGAAGAACGAACTCTGAACACAGAATAGCTAAGCCACACCCAGACTAAAGCTGGTTCACATGGCTCTCACAGCAAATCATGTGTCGCAGTCAAAAAACAGTTCTCATTGGCTGGATCATTGCCATGGCTATTCCAGTTCATAAAATTCTTTACACACTAACAGAATGGTGGTCAGAAAATAAGGGTTTTTTTTTTGTACTGGATAGTGGAAGGCACTATCCACTTCTAATACAGGCAGAACATTGTCCTGATCTGACAAGTGCTTGTATTGGAAACTACTTGGGAATCTTGTGGAAAATTGAATTTCATCAGAGAAGAAAGATTGGATGTAAATAAAACAATTCCCAATGTTGAACAAAAAAACCTCTTAGAAGAAAATGTACCTAATATTCCAACTAGCTTTTTAAAAATGTCTGGTCTTCCATAATGTATCATTAAAATATGAAAAAAATGTTTTATTAATTATTGGAATTTAGTTTCACAATTCTTCATTATCTACCAATTCTTCACAGGGAATATATTTCTGGACAGTAAATGAGTAATGCAATGAAATTTCAGTACAATAAAATTTGATGACAGATGGTACGCCTGTTCGTTTATTTTACTCAGTACATAGAAAATTCCGTAGAACTTGCAACCCTTGAAATTTGCCTGTGTACTCAGGTTCATTAATAAGCTTTATTCAGAAATGCATAAACTACCTAACCCCAGAAAGTAGATTGTTTAATGGTAATTGCATAGCATGTGTACTTTAGATTTCAAAAAGTATCAGATCATAATTAAAAGTTCCCTTAGTTTTAATGGCAAACAATTTTCTATTTGGTTGTAGATTACAGAACAAAGTTCACTCCATATGAAAATACCATTTATTGTTTTGTATCTTTCTTAATTAATTCTGCATGACTTGTAAAATGAACTAAAATAGGAGTTAATTTAACTTAGTCCTATTGTGTGTCCACATACTTTTAAAAGAAATAATGTTGATTTAAGGCTTTCAAATGCCCTTTTAAAGGCAATAAGATCCTTCCCTGACATATAATCTTTGTTTAAAACTTCCATTATCTGGACATTGTTATTTTATTGCTACAATTTTGAGCATTTCAAGGAAAATCAGAAGGGGAAATGAACACAGGAAGACCATGACTATCCTTTATTAAGATTGGCTAATAGCAAATTAGTAGTATACAATGTGGTAAGAGTAGATGATGACTTAAAGAAAGAAAATCTATCAAATACTCAAAGGTGAATGATGAATGGACCAATATTAATAAGGGAAATATGTGATGCTATAAAGGAGATGAATAAAAAGAGCCCTTGTTCCAGATGGATTATTATAAATATTTTCTAGATAAGTTTTTATTACCTTTGCAAAACAACGATAAAACTCCATTTTAGATAATGAAAAGATACCAGATATTGATGGACAGGAGCATAAGTAGCAGTGATTCCAAAAGAAAGCCAGGATTTGATTTTGCCAAAATATAGGACGATACTAATAATTATAAAATATTTACAATGATTTTATCTGGAAGGCTGAAAATGTTTTTCAAGATTTTTGAAGAACACAGAGTGGGTTTTTTTTAAAACCCAAGAAATAACATTAGAAATGTTCTTAATTCATTAGAGTACTTGGCACAATATAGTGAAAAGCAAGGTGAATATTTCTTAGTATTGATGCAGAAATAGCTTTTGACAATTTAAATCGTTTTTCTGTTTAAAATTTGGAAGATACCAATTTTGGAAAGAACTTTATTACATGTGTGAAATCAATACATTTTCACAAAGGGCCCAAATGATTGTGAAATACAGAAAGAAATGAGGCAGGGATGCCTGCTTTTTCCATTGTCGTTCATTTTCTGGTTCTTCAAGTTTTAAATAGAAATGTAATAGAAATTAGACTGGTGTGAACATTAAGAAATAAATGTATAAACTAAAGATATTTATTGATGATTTGGTTCTAATTTTGGAGAAGAATCCTTTAAGAAGAAGGATAGATGTAGTAATGGAAAAACAAGAGAATTTGATGAATTGTCTGGATTTAAAATAAGGGAAAAGTTCAAAAAACATTAAGATAGACCCCCCAAAAATTGATAAGTGGCTTTCAGATTGAAAAAAATGAATATTTGGGTATCATAACTAATATAAATTGTATGAATTCATGTCATAATTATGTTAAAATATGAAATGAAATTAAGAAGGATTTATTGAGATGGAGAAAATTATTGTTGGAAGAATGTTTATGGTAAAAATTTACTCCTTTCCCTCTTACATTCCAGTTAATCATGGAGGAACCTGCCTAAGTTTCTTGATACTATATTTTCCCTAGATCTTAGGGATTGTTTCAGCTCACTCTGCTTACTGTATATGATGGTTCTTGTCTATTTCCCTTAAAGTCATCTCCATAGCTCTCTATGCAAGTATGAAGAGCATTCTATAACAATGTTATCAAAAACACTGGCAACATCTAAAGCAATGCATTTGATGAAGGTCACTTCCCAGGTTCTCTTGAAATAAGTGAACTAAGTCAACTATTCAAAGACAATACATACGGTGAAACATGTATTTTATTTAGATTTATAATCCACCTTTAAATATAGAGGGCAACCTTCCACCTTGCATCTTGAGATTACACTGCTGTAAATTTTAATGGTGTGACTTGGAAGTGTGTGTGTGTGTGTGTGTGTGTGTGTGTGTGTGTGTGTGTGTGTGAGAGAGAGAGAGAGAGAGAGAGAGAGAGAGAGAGAGAGAGAGATCACAAGTCCTTGGTCACTTAGCTTTGGAAATCAAGTTGCTACAGTACAACTTCCTTTCCCTAGTTTATTGCTTCATCAAGACTGCAAGGTAGCTTGGACTGAAAACTAATGAGGAGCCCAAATACACCCAGCAAATTTCTGTAGTTAACTGAGGACTTCATTTTGTATATCCCTGGTCTCCATTCAACACCGGCTATTAACTGAATTGTGCTACAAATAAACTGAAAGTCAATCTAGTTTTTAATACTAGCAAGATATAATCCATAGAGTGAATATCAGTTAATAATTTAGCTGTTACATTCTGACTATTTTAGAAGAGTTCCCAAATGTATCCTCATTCCTAATTCATTACAGCAATAAAAAAACTAGAATGGATTAGCAAAGCAAGAATTTTTCCATCGGGGCAGATACCTATGCTGGCCAATATTCAATATTCATACTAAGGGTCAGATTTTCACATCCCCACATCCTCACACCCATCCACCCACACCCACTCCTTAATGGATACCTGACACCATCAAAAAGTGGTGGAATACAATTCGTATCTACAAACAAAGCAAAAATATCTGGGTTATTTTGAACTCATTTAATATATTAATGATGCACAAAATGGAAAAAAATAAACAGAATACCACATCTCATTTCTCAGTTACAAATAAGCACCATGGAGAAGATTTACTAGTTTGGTAGCTCTCACTTACCACTCCACCAAGAGCACAAACCTCCTATGTACTTTTTACTAATAGTGAAGAATATGTATGTAGCTTTGGGTTGAATTGCTTATGAGAATTCAAAACATTCAGAACATAGCAGCTAAATTATTAATTGCTACTCACTCCATGGATTATATCTTGCTGGTACTACTAAAATCTGCACTGACTTCCAGTTTATTTCTAGCACAATCCAACTGAAGCCAATGTTGAATTAAGAGCAGGGATATGAAAGTTCATAGTTAGTCATAGAAATTCACTAATTATATGGGCTATTGGACTGTGGGGGACATTTCTCTGTTTTTACACGGTGTATCTGTGGGATGATATTTTCAATTACACTGGCCACCAGGAGGCACCATGTGACTAGTTTTGTTGTAAGGTGACTCTTCAGATGTGGGTAGATGGGATGCAAGCTTCTGTACTTGGAACTACATTCATGGATCGTGGATCTTCCTATTTTAGTGGACTATAGAGAGTGTGTTAGCTTTATGAGCTAATGCCCATCCTTCCTTTTAAAGAAGAGGAATGGAAGCCATGTAAAACCCTGTACATGAGAGCATGGCATAATGTAACATCTACAGTACATGTCTCTGAAGAAAGGTGGATTTTATGCACCCTTCTGAAAATTTCAATCTACCCTTTCCTGCAACTCTGAGCACCATGATCTGGAGAGCTGCTCATGCACTTACAGCACTATAGTTTCAAAAAGAACCTAAGCTTATCCCTGCTGGACATTCCTTGTTTAGCCTCATACTTTCCATAATCGTTTGTTTGTTTATTCATTTGTATTTCACATCTCTTAATGATCTGTCTACTTCAGAGAAGGACTCTGGGCAGTGCACAATGTAATCAACAAAATTAAACATTTAAATCAGAGTAATTTAGGATGAAAAGCTTTAAAATTATAAAAAACATCATAAAAAATTCAGAACATGAAGAATTCCAAAATGGGGAATCAACAGCTGTTACTATAGGCAGGTGGGAGATTCTCATAGGGCCAGCCAGCCACATGGTTCTGTAGGTCACTATGTGCCCTATGCAAGGCTACAGAGCCAAGTTTTAATCCCTTTGTGGAAGGCCAAAAGATTGGGGGCTTTCCTCACTTCTGAGAGCAAGATGTTGCACAATGCAAGGGCAGTGGCAGAGAAGGCCCAGCTCTTAGCAATAGCAAAAGCATTTAGACTCATATAGCACTTCACAGTGCTTTACAGCCCTCTCTAAGCAGTTTACAGAGTCAGCCTATTGCCCCAACAATCTGGGTCCTAATTTTACTGACCTTGGAAGGATGGAAGGCTGAGTCA